CTGTAAAGTGGAAGGATTCATTGTACCTACTAGTGATTAATCACAAAAAAAAGACAGAAGCAGAGAACAAGAATGATTAGAGAAAATTTGGCCCTCGGCAAAAAAAAAACCAAAGTGAAGGAGCAAGGTAGGGCTGTTCTGTCTAAAGAAAACTGAAGGAAACATGGGACACCTTCATGGCTGTAAAAGCTGAGGTGCCATAAGAAAAGGGAATAAATTGTTCTTCTACAGAAGGAGGACTTAAACTGCAATAGGGGAGCTCCAGCTTGCATGTTAGGGATTACCAAGGAATATGTGGAATCACTCACATTCCAGATTGTACAAAGACATTAGACAAATGACCCTCATAGCTGATTCTTTACTCAGGAAAGTCCATTCTATGCTTGTTTCCTAAAATCTAAAACATTATGTGGAAACAAATGAACTGACATTTGTAGGCAGATTTTTTAAGACTCTACAGTAATTCAGTTTAAAATCCATTCATAACTTTAGTCTGAGTCAAGTCAAACAACGTGCCTCCATGCTCGACCGTCACTGACTATGGAAAGATCTGGATTACAATTTAAATAGAAAATGTATAGAAGCTTTGAATATATTTATTCACAGAGTTAATCTACGAGTCTCTCTATTCCTTGTTTAGTCATCCATAAATCTCTCTGATTTTCAGTTTTCAAATGAAATGAAGACTGGAAGTAAGTAAATACAGAGAAGGCGCTGAAGTCTGAAATAAACACAGGGAATCAAAATAATACTGGAAGGGAGATTTTCGTTGGGATGACAACAGTGCTTGTGTGCATGCATGTCTCTGTGTTTGCATAAGAGTACGTGTGCATAAACACAAAATACACGTTTGCATGCATAAAATGTCCAGATGGGAAACATAAAAAGCTATTGAATTAAATAACTTTTTATATAAATTATGTAGTGAAATACACCCCCTTCCCTTCTTGAGCAATCAAAAAATTGATTCATACTGAAGTCTCTGCATTTGCAATCTAAAACTGTACGCAGCAACGTCAGTTACAATTTATTACGAATGATTATGGCTAAAGCAATTAACATTAATTAATGGTACGTTGGAGGAAAGTTTGAGTGGCTTACCACCATAAGTTTAGTTACACTAAGAACTGAAAGATGAGGAGCTTTAAGTCCTAGGTGTAACTCTATTGGTCTATCTAAAATGTTGTAACTATTTTCCTCACAGGTATTGAGAAGCTTAAGCTAGCTGCTTCTCAGAAAGGATCTGAGATGGTAAAAGAAAAAGGTGTTATTCTTTTTTACATTTATTTACAAAAATAATGCCTATACTAGAAGGAAACAATTTAAACAATCAACAAAAGGGATCTGGTTTTGAAGTGGAGCAAGACCACCTTTTTTCCGACAGTGGAAAAACTGAGAAGTACGGAGTACTAAAGGATGTATTGCCAAGAGTGGTAAAGGAAGACAGACTACAATTAGACAATATGGAATATGGCCAAGACAGGGGCCCAGCAAGTTCAAGTGGTCGCAGCCACTAAGTACCACTCCACTCCCGCAGCAGCCCCTCCCAAGTCAAATTTTTGTTAAGGCCAAGTGGCCGGCACAGCTTCCTGTAGCAATTGATGTCACCCAGCCTAAGCACTGATTCAGATCTATGCTGCTTTATTCAAGAGATCTGGTGAGACTGGAAGGTTACTGCTGCAAGCCGTTTTGAAGTAGTTATCAGGAAAATGCAAAATGACTAAATGCATATAGCTTGGGGGGAGTGGGGCTATTAATAGAGCCACTGCCAACTGATAACAGAGATGCGAAGACTGTAAACCAAGTCGACAGGAGAACTGATGCGAAGTCAAAGGAAAACATTTCTAAGAATGAGGGAGGCAATCCACCATAGTGACTTAAACTGAATACTAGAAAAATCTGTCTCAACAACCAGATCTAAATTCTGAAAAGAACCAGGCCTTTGCTTAAACGACTTAACTAAGATGAACTCGCCATATGTTTCAAGGTAGGAACCTGTAATAGTCACTAATGGGGGATTATATGAGCGATGAATATTCTCTATCACCTAATACCTAACTCTTTTCAAAATGATTTTCCTACTTAAAATCAATATGGTGAGGTCACTCCATTCCCTTTAACTGGCTATTGATCTTTACAAACGCAACATCTGTGCTACACACCCAGTATTGCAGAGCAGCTGCTGAAAGGACACCTAGTGGCAAAGAAATGAGCATGTCTAGAAATCTCTGGCACTGCTGGAGGTGTGTAATTATAATTATCATGGGAACTGCTGAACTCCTATGAATCTGCAGTGTCATATATACCAATTTATGTGCCAAATAGCACTATTCATGGTTTTTAAAAAATGTGTTCTTACAAGTGCTTTTTAAAAACATGGAATTTAAGCTTAACTTCCTTAAAACTCACTGAACGTTCTGTTAAACAAATGATGCATGTGCCTCTGTGTTGTAAGAATATAAATCTGAATATCCTGAGTCTCGACTGCATCAATTTTAGGAATATCAGGTAGCTGAACAGAACTCATTACAGATATGTTTTGCTTAATAATCAAGCCAAATTTCAGCTTGCTCATCACCATTCCTTGGGCCCTCCATTGTGTCACTCTAAAATATCCTAAGCAATTCCTTCCCTTCTCATCTTTTTCTCCTATGAAGACAAACAGCTGAAGCATATAAACTGTACTTATTTAAGCTAATTTTACTCTTTTTGTTTCTGTCCATTCAACTTTACAGTCACTTCTTGCCTGTGTTTATTCCAAACCCCTTAATATGTACTAATGCCCTTGTGACCAGGAGATGCCCACAACAGAAAGCTGTATTCCAGATGGAGTCATGCTGGTCTCATGCAGAGAGGGATTATAACCTTCCAGCGCAGTGACAAGCTGCCTCTGGGCAAACAGACCAAAATCCACACTTGGCTTTCTTGTTTATGTCAACATATCAAATTACAAGCACAGAACTATTTGCTGACCACTGTCCCTCTTTGATTACTGTTTTCATGTTCCCTTTTCCAGGTTTCTCTTTCCTATTGAACACCAGGTCCTCTCGATTAATTTGCCCTTAGTGAATTAGTACTGATTTGTTAGGTCATTTTTTCCAGACACGTTTTGGGGGGGGTATTTCATTTTGTGACATTTCTGTATGCCAGTGCTCTGTTCTCTGTCCTCACAACATTTATAACAGCTTCCAACTTAGTATCATCCTTTGATTTAAAAAGCCACAAACAAGCCATTTCAGCTTGTCTATCCTCTTTCATCACAACAAAGATTGAATCACTGGCGTGGCTATTTTTTGTTTGCTTTTTTAGGTGACTTCCTACTGAAGTTTTTGTTTAAAAAAGTCAGATTCTGCCATACTTCTCCACAACTACAAGGAAGTAGATTGTGACATCCATTGAGGACGCTGCAGTTCCTGCCCTTACCTAAACGTTAGCACCAGTTCTTCACCCAGCTCTGTTTCCATAGCTCACCTCTCCTCCACTCCACCCTTCTGAAGCTCCAGCCTGCTCTCCAGTCTTAAAATGGCATGTAGTTTCCTTCCTTTACTATAAACAATGCTTTCTGTAACCTTAGTTTCATGATGTAAACATTTAAAAATAAGAATGAAGGGAACACAAACTATGTGTTCCATTAGGTAATTTGGGGACTAAATTAAATAAAATCTCTCAAAACATGGAACATTTCAGAGTAATGAAGTCTGGCTTTGCTTGTTTTCCTTTTATCCCATCCCTGTAAAAAAGAAGACAATGGATCTTAGAAACCCTGGCATAAGAGTAGTAAAGACAGCTGAAGGCAGCTTATTGCTTGTGAATCCAAAAGAAACTAAAGTAAAGCTCAGAGGAAGGAGCCGTAACATGCAGGTATGTGTCCAAAGGGAAAGAGAGACACTCTGGAAACTGCAGGATGCTGGAGGCTAGGGAACCAGCTGCTACAGTTGACATGGGAGTCTCCTGCTACCAGTAGCATTACCATCTGTAATCTGATGTCAGCAAAACGCCCTGAAATCTGCCAAAGCTTCTTCAAACTGGCGTTTCTTTTATATTTAAATATATTTTAAAAGCAAGAAACCAACCAACACATCTTATACTCTAAGCAAAAAAAACACCAAATAAAAATATAGGGCTCCTTTGTATACACTATATGTAATACAGAATAGTAACGGACAGGAAGAAAGAGTAGTAAAGAAAATATAATGTCCATTAAAAAATGCTTCTGTTCACCTCTGCATTCCACCTGTAAGTTTTGGCCAATTATACTCCTTCAAATAGGCTTCTTTTTTATTATCATCATTTTTTAAACAGCTCTGGAGAGGATTTTTATTGTTAAATCCCTAATCTGAATTTTGCTCTTGTGAACTCTTCCGCAACAGAAAAAAAAACGAAAACTGTCTGCAAATGTGGGAGAATTCTTATTATGTACATCTGAACATGCACATTTGGCTTTCGTTGTGCAGTGTACCAGGCAGCTACAAAACCAAAGGGTAGCCTATTACAGCGTTAGTCAACACTTTAAACTTTGGATCTCACTTATCCTGAAAGACAGTGACCTTTCTGGCCTTTCAAGCAAGCCTATTTCCTCTTGGCATACAGCCGACACAGGTAATGCAGGAGTTGTTTGACTTTCACATCGTCTTTAAGCAGGTATTGTGAACATCCATGATAATAGCTTCAAAAAGGCAGTTCAGCGTATGTACAAGCATTACACCTGCCCTAGGCCTCTTTGCTGGTTTTGGGGCTTTACAGTCATCTTTTCCTGTTTCTGAAAGCCTGCTGGGGAAGGGTGAGGGGTATTCCATTATTTGGTGAAAAATACACAAACAGCATATAAGGAAATGCACAACATTTCCAACACAACTTCCCAAAATAAGTTCAACAACAGGTTGCTTTTTTTCTTCCTTTCTCTGCACAATACTACTTGCTAATTTTACTCAGGTTTGGTAGAAAACAGCAATAAATGAGAGGGAGACTTTTAGTGGGATATCAATATCTTGGAGACCTACCTTGAAAGAAACTTTTGACTCGGAGATAGCTGACGCTAAGGCGCAAGACAGAAAGTTTGTCCAGCTTCGATACGATGTCGGGTGGAAAAGGCAAGAGGCTGGCCAGATGGTCCAGTTCTGCATTCAGGCGGTCCCTGTGTCTCTTTGAAGGATTCGATTTTTCATTCCCAACTGCAGGCCTTCTGTGGTGGAGAACACATTTTCGATTACCTGTTTTACCTCCAGATAGTACAACCAGAGACTGAGACGCTGTCTGCAATTAGTTGGTTACAGGCATATTTAATCTAGCTGAGATGAAAATCTTTCTGTCCCCTGCCAAAAAGAGAAAACCATTCTTCATTTGCCATAGTGCAAAGACATGGACATTGGCCTGTTTTTCCACATCTGCCCAGTGAAAAACAGATGAAGAACTGATACCTATTACTCAGAACCCTCTCACTCTAGGGGAATGGTTAATATCTTCATGTTCTGGTCAATAGGGAAAAACAATTTCTCATCTATGCTGTAGAAATTAGGGTCAAGAACAGCAGAGGAAAATTACCATGACTAATGCATGAACCCATTGAATACCCACTGCATTCATTCAAAGCATCTTAGATCAATTAGTTTAATGACTCTAAGTTAACCTGTGGGTCAGAAAATAAGTAAGAGCCTGTCTTTTGACATGAGTTTAAAAAGTATGGGAAGAAGGGTGAAAAGATGTTCTTTCCTCAAGCTCAAAAATCCTGTGAACATACCTACATTTACCTTGCTACATCACTAATAACAAAGATAAAAATATGGTTTCTCTCTTAAGATCATTGATATTTCTCCTACAACATAAGGATTGATGCTACCCAGATTTCTAAGCCAAGCCCTCCTAGTCCATCCCCAATTCATGTCCCTCTCATGCAGTAGACAAGACGGGATACCTCAGAAAAGCTATAGTGAAAATGCATTAAGATGAAATACATCACAAATGAGGAAGCTCAATTTTGGTGTGTCTGCTGATATTCTTCTCACAGAATGTGTAAGATGCTGCTCTCAAGAGGGAGAAAAGGAAAACCTGGTGTACTTGCACACAACGGGAACCTGATTTCCAGCACAATAGCAAGAGGTGGCCAGTGCTGAAGAACTGACTTGTCTATTAAGGAAGATGACTTGAGTGGTAAGTTTGAGAAGGTGGTTATCTCCAGCAGACAGCCATTGCTGGACCCAGCAGTAGTCAACTGCATTATCCAGGAATGGGCCACAGGCCACTGGAGCCATAAACTAGATGGACCTACAATATGAGAAGGGGGAGTGCTATAGCTGAGTGCTATAGCTGAGCTGGCAACAAACCGGGGGATTTAGTGCTGTCTGCTGGTTCTCCACGCACTCTTGTAATGCCCATGTTCAAGTTCTTATTGTACCACATTGCCACATTCCTCCTGAGGCATTTCTCAATGTCTCTTATTCCTCCAGAATAAAAGACATTGAGGAAAAAAAAAAAAATCAATGAGGAAAAGATGGAAAAATACTCAAGAATGGGAACTGGTAGGAAAGGAAAATATGGGTGTGCTAACAGTTTCCACTTTCACCTCACTAAAGCGAGGATCATAACCATATGTATCTTAACTGGTGCTCCAGTGGAGAATCAGAGGAAAACTAATTATTTGCAGCACTTTACTACTGCATTTCCATGCTCCATGAATTTATTATATTTTTCAAGAATAATTTCTGAAGTTTAAGCGTTAGTATTTCACAAGATGGTCAAAGGCTTAAATTACAACCTTTGCATGTTACCCTCTTATAAGTGTAATATTATCATTGCAACTGTGGTTTAAAAAAATGTGCTTATGAATTAGTTAAAAAAAAAAGGATTGATGTTTTGTGCCTGTAATTGCTGCCAATTAAAAATCTCTTAAGGCAAAATAGGCATGAAAAAATTGTGCTCCCTTTGAGAGCCTCACTTCATTTTAACAGGACACATTGATGAACAGAATGAATGAAAATATATTTGAGGTAGGTGTCAGTGAAAATAGGTAGTTTCTGCTTTCTCATTCAAAATTGCCAATACTGACAATGTGGCCCTTCAATAATACAACCAGTTGCTTTCAAAGACATGGGGAAGATTTTGTTGATTGGAATCAATACAAAGCTTTCTTGCATTACAGAGAGCAAAAAAAGCAGCAAATAATGTAATAAACAAAGTAGGAATACTCTTTTTTCACTTTTCCAGTTAACTTCTTTTTTTTTCCCAAAAAGGTTGTGCATAGTGGGCACTAATTTTTGCAGTAGACACTGAAGCTCAGCCATCCTCACTGTGACCCCAAAAGGATGTCTGACCTGTGGAAAGCAGTAATTCTGTGGGAACGTAGCCTATAGCTGATCAGAAACTGAAGAACATTAGCTTTTACTAATTGCTTTTTGCATCTGACAAACCAGCTGAAGCAAGGAAGCAATTTAGGACAGAAAAAAATTAATTCCAGTAAGGAAATTTAGACTGATGAGTTCAAGGGGCAAAAATTGTCAAGATTTACATTGACTAGAAATAGAAATTGTTCAAGTCTACTTGCCACATAAAATAGTGACTGCTGTCTGCCGGAGAGGAATGGTTCGAGGCCATTATGTGCAGTGTTTGCACTGAGTGTAAGGAACAGTTTTCTGGAGATTGCAGGGAATGGTGTAAAAAGACTGCAAGAGAAAGTTCAGGACAGAGTCTTCCTGAAAACTTAAGGAAATGATTCAGTAAGGGAGTGAATCCAAACAGAGGTTTGATGTAAGTGGCAATGAGGTGCCAAGTGGATGCGATTTTAAACAATGCAAGTTCCATGGAAAGGCCAGCTTAGCTATCCATAAACAGAAAAGGGCAGGCAGGGAAATTCTTCAGTGGGCTGCTCTGAGGCAAATTGAAATTCTAGCCTTTATTTTGAGCTGATAGTAGATAGTGCTTGTGTTTCTGTTAAACTCCAGATTCTCAAACTCTGTAGCACTCACTCGATGATACCTTTCTTACTCTACTTTTCATGCAACACTACTACAGTGAAGTAGCACGTGTAGAATAAAGTTGGCATTTCTTTCTTTGAGTCGTTAAACCATCCAAATGCTGCTATGCAGTTACAAGTCCTTCTACCTGCACAAGACCCATATCAGCCGTCCCCATTCAGTAGGAACTGAGTGTGGGAGCTGGTGCAGAGAACTTTTCCCGTTTCGGTGGTACAAACGTAAGGCACTGAGCCATTTGTGCTGTAATGATTCAGTGTGCCTATGACACACAGACTGCCACTAGCGTAAACCAGTTTGGTGAGCTTGCAGAGGAATTTCCTGCAGCTACAGCCCTGCCTGCTGCTCTCTACCCTCTGCGGGAGCCCTACCCTGTTAACGAAAAGTTTACTCTGAATAAGTTTATTAAGAATCCTTTAAACCAGCAGATGACCTAAACTGAGAAAAAGCTAATTATTTACTATGATGGCAAGCATTTGGTAAGAAGGCAAAGGGAAGAGAGAGACCATAAGATGCAACAGATAGGCTAAGCACAAAGTAACAGCAAGATGATTCTCATGAAGGCACTGACCAGCACCCACAGCCACTGAAATGTGCTTGAGCATTGCACAGGTATCCTGGTAGAGCTGAGCTCCAGTGCCAGCTGTGCATTTGCAGATGTTCGGCGTCTTCTACAAACCAAAAGGACCAAATGACAGAAAGCTATTTGAGGGGAAGGGGGACCTTTGCCACCTTCAACCTCTTCTGGGTCTTCACAGCAAAGAAAGGCAAAAGCAGAAGTAATGGTCAAGAAGATATCAAACTGATAGAGCAAATGAGAGGTGGGATAGTGTGATCTCAAGGAAGAGGAAGGGCTATGCCACAGAGGACAGTAAAATGCAGACTAAGAAGCAGGAAAGAGCTGCACCTCCTGAAGTCCCTGTTTACCCTGGCACTGGTACGGTTCTGGCTGAAGTGGGCAGTTTGGAGCAGTTACTGATACACGCAGAGCTAAGACAGCTGTAATTTGCCTTTAAGTTGCTGTAAAACATTACAAGAAAAGTTTTGTTGGAGGGAGAGAGTTTTACAAGATGCCAGGGTTTGAGACGAAGAAGTGGCTGGAGCTCTCAAATGGTAACAGCATTGCCTTAGCATCTCTAATATAAACATTAATTTCAGCACAGTGATTTTAGTTTGAGGTTAAAAACAAGATCTCTTTTAGTGTTGGTTTAGTTTTCAGATGCTTGAATTACCAGTAAAATGTTAGATTCCAATAGAAAACAAACACTTGGTAGAAAATGTTTCCTTTAGTCAAAAATCCAGTTCTCTGGCTGAAAAGCCTATCTGATGGAAAATTTTCAATCAGTCCGAGCTCCAGGTGTTTGAATTGAGTCCAGAAAAGCCAAAATTCTTTAGTGTAGACCACATCTAATGGGGTTTGTTTGGCAGCTTTCTGGGGCAAAAGGAGAACAGCTAGGGGAGTTTATGTATTTGCATGTATAAAAGTAGAACTTAAACCTGATGAACTGCCTGAACAATGGCAACCTAATGAAGGCAGACTCTCCTAGTTCTGTGTAGAGAAAAAGATGCAAACATATTAGATCCCCTCAGTGAAACAAGTTTTTCACACATTCTTCCACAGTATTGTGGGTCTCTGAATTCCCTTAAATGCTTAAACAGGGGAGTGACACAGTAAACAGTGAGAGTGCTCAGGCACTGGCACAGGTTGCCCAGAGAAGCCATGGCTGCCTCATCCCTGGCAGTGTTCAAGGCCAGGTTAGATGGGGCTTTGAGCAACCTGATCTAGTGGGAGGTGTCCCTGCCCATGGCAGAGGGGTTGGAACTGGATGAGCTTTAGGTCCTTTCCAACCCAAACCATTCTGTGATTCTGTAATTCTCCTGTGGAGCTTCTTCATATATTTTCATTACTGTTCTGTAAAACTACCTCAGAATAGAATGTCTGTACCTGAAAAGCCATGAACATGATGAGCAATATAATTCAGTGACATCCTGTATTAAAAGCCATATGCAGGATCACCACCTGGTTTAACAGCCTGATCACAAAAAGCTGATGGAGAAGCAGAGAGTTGCCTTCCTGGGATGCACTGAGTATGGGTAGATATGAACATCTCAGGTGTTCTGCAGAGGGGAAAGCTGCACCTCTGCCCTTGGAATCCTGACCGGCAAAAGGACTAATCCACGAATCTGTACAGAAATCAAAGTATTCTGCTCAAACTGGCACCTGAGATTGCTTATTCCTTTGTCAGGAGAAAGTTAAATTCTAGAGGCTGTAAATGATAAAAACTGAGGACCCATCATTAGGACTGGCCAAAGAATTCCCATCAACTTTAATTCCTATGAAAAATTAGGTTATTCAACTGAACAAATACCTGTCCCAGAACAGGTGGCAGCATCTACCATGATTCATTATCAGAATGGCAAGGGGAAAATCCACTTTCTGCCATGGCAGAAAATCCACTATGCTACCAAGTAAGAGAAAAAAAGCTGTACTAAAAATGGTACAACATGGATGAAAATCGTGACTAAATATCCTGTTCAATTAATAGGCTTTGTCTACCCTTCTAAATTCAAGATAAATGATTTGAGGCAGCATAACAGTAAGGATACCTCGGAGTCCTGAAATGTCAGTAAGATCTGTAGAACTGAAGGACATAGCCTGTGAAAGGAGCTCTGTCAGCCAGTCATTCTTGGTCATTCAGAGCCTCTTTAGATGAGAGTTAGAAAGTCCCTGAGTGAGGGAATGAGCACAGGAAAGGCTTACCAGAGACCAAGCCCACAAGCAGATAAGGAAGAGGCCAGTGTTACCAGGAACTGAGAAACCATCCTCAGCAAGTGGTAAGTAACTAACCACAGAAAATAGAGGGCTGGCTTCAGTGAGGGAGCTCAGTATTATAACAATACAAATGATCCCCTTTGTTTTAATCAAAATCAGGTTTCCTAATCAAAATTTTCTATGTTCTGGCTGGATAAGCTCATGCTCAGGTACCTCTACTGAAAATAGCAAAGCTATTTTCAAGGTAGCATACTGCAATGGCTCCTAAGGTGAAAACTTGGTTCCATCAAAGTATGTTGGATTTTGCTTATGATTTTGTTGAAGTCAGAACTTAAAAAAAGGCTTATGAGGACATTCCCACCCTTTGACATGAGGTGGTTCTCTTAATCATTGCATTTATCTAGAAGTGACCTTTGGGAAAATTTCTAGCTAGCATACACACTCCAAACATGAAGCTCAATGGTTCTCACAGCAACTGCACGTCCCCCTCCTTTCTCACAAAAATGAACATGAACAGTTCTGCACAGAGGTAATTTCATGTACTAGAGCAGTCCACACCTCATGCAGTTATAAAGTTAAATATCCACATCCATACTTGAACAGTAGTGCCGAAATGTTACATACGTTTTGGATTTAACACTGATTTTGCATGAAGAATCTTTTTTTTATGTCATTATCTTTGTCTATTGAAATTGTCACCTATGATGTATTCTGCACTAAAAGAGATATTTTTAAGTGGGAACAAGTAGTTCATGTGCAACTACTCTCCAAAACCCGAACAAAATCAACAGATCTCACTCAAACATTTAGAGACACTCCCCTTTGACTTTGGACCAATATATACAACTTTAAGCCAAGTGGGTTATTTTTAGAAGCTCTGAACAACCAAAAATAGGGAAATCTATTTTAGTTACCTTTTCATCCTTAAATCATCTGTGAAAGCCACCAGTGCTACTTCATAATTTTAACACAGCAAAAATGTGGGTTTCATAACCATATAATCAAGTGTAACACAGAAGATGTGGGATGATTCTATTAAAAACCTTCATTTCACAGAGTGGTTTATGGCATCTGGAAATCATTTTACATTTGAGCGATAGCAACCTTCTCCCCCTCCCATTTCAAGCATCTTGTAGTAACAACTTCCCATTGCTATTTTTCTTTTTCTGCTTTGCCTTCACACATACAATTCCTCTCTCCTGCTTTTCTCCTAATGAAAGCAACCCCAGAGTAAATAGTGGTTTGAAAATGATGTGTGTTTTATGCAAGAAGTGAGTCACCAGTATGCTTTTTCAGTTGGCTGAACTGACCCACTTTCCAGGCTCGCACATGTTGGACGTAGCGATGCCCCAAGCAAGGCTAAGCCAAGGAAGGGGGAAGCCAGCACGCTGGTGCCCCTCGACACACAGCTTCTCCTTGAACAGGCACCAGGGAACACAGAAGTGCAGCTGGAGCAGTCACCCCTCCAGGCACTGCCCAGCTGACATTTAGTTCAGCACTACCTTCTGACTAGGAAAAAGCACTGTCTGTCTCCTCACGGCAGTGTACTCTGTACACAATGAGTACACACCACAGCTACCACTGGGCTCCTCCTGGGACACCTAGTGATGGGTAAGGACAGCTTGACCCACACTCAGCATCCTTTCTGGAGCCAGTCTTAACCATGAAAAGCCAGCCTCCCAGCCAGGGGTTTCTCACTGCAGAGAAAGCTATTACGTCTCTCCTGTGCTTGTGGACCATAGAGGAAGGAACTCCTTTTACTGCATTTCTAGCGCATATATTTGGAGGGAGATACCTCCTGATGAATATGATACTTAACTGTTTCTGAATGGGTTTCCTCCTTTTTCTCCCAGCATATAGGCATTCCCCCGGAGGAATCATTGTTTGGATGCTGCAAAACAAAAGGAGTATGTTTCTTAGTTCAGAGGTTTCTGGATTTCATATTGCTGTACAAAATGACAGCACCGAGAAAATTCAGCCGAGCAAAATGTTTGTTCCTTGAGTGTGGCATTCAACAACACTAAAAAGCATGGTGGCATTAGTTAAGATAGAAGATTAAGGCTTATTCCAATTTCCTACCTTAATATTATTAGAATATTGATGTTTATATTCAATTTTCATTTTTTCAAATTAAGCATTCCAGATATGGTACAAAATGGGTATAAAATACATCCTGTTTATTGGATATCCAAATTTTTTTCCCCTTCTAGGCTCATTTTTAAACTCAGCTAAACAAATAAGAATGAGTAATACTATCCATCATCTTCTGCAGGGAGGATTTCACATCATTTTTAATACACAGCAATATTGTGTTCCATTACTGACACCATGATAAGTAGGATGCAATTATTCAAATCAGCATTTTCCCAGGTCCTCACAACCTCATTTTTAAAGACTGAAAGTATATCTGTCGGCAGCTTGAGAAGTGACACATGGTATCGTGGTTAGCACTAGGACCCAATGCAGTGCTGATGGAGGTGACAATTTTCAGACAAAACTTAACCTTATTACTGCTCCCTTTGAGCACATTAGCCTTAGAGATATTGCAGGTTCTGAAACAAGTCTTTCCATTCAGTTTGTTTAAGTCTTCTGGAGATTAGCTGAGTATCAAGCTGAGTATCATCTTTCTGTATGAAAGAGTATTTTAGTTTTGCTGTGTGCTGTTCAACAGCGGGTGCACAATGCCTGAGAAGTTACTGTATCTCAAGAGTATTTGCTGCTTTGTGTAAGTTGTAAAATTAAGAGGAGCTTCTATGTCACTGAATCAGATCCCTTGCTACTGAAGAAACATATGTCATGTAATGCAATCATAAACTTTCTGAATTTCAATTAAAAACTGTTTCGAGGAGCTTTGCTTTTCATTGAGAGACAGCTTTCTGATAACTAGAAACCTTTTGCTTCCCAGCTGAGATTTGTTCATGGTCATTTTATGCCCATTTGTTCTTCTGCCAACACTGTCTTTTAGTTTAAATAGCTCTTCCTCCTCTGTCGTGTTTACTCATTGGCATATTTTTAAATATCAGTCATATCTTCAGTTAGCCTTCTTTTTTCTATTCTGGGACAACCCAAACTCTTTTACTCCCCTCTCATGTTACAAACTTTGTACTCTTCTTATCATCTTAGAAGCCTTTATTTTCTCCTTTCAGTCAATCTGTCTGAGGCACAGATAAACATAATCATGCACAGTATAGTAAGTAAAACCTAGAAGTATTTAATAGATGCATACATACTCATATTTATTGACAAACCGTTAATTCTTAATGGGAATTATTTCACTTGATAGTAGCATGACTGTTTTTTTCCTTTCATAGCCATTATCCAATTTATGGCTCACAGTCATCCTGTGGTCACCTAATATGCACAGTTCTCTGTCTTCATGCATCGTTTCCAATAAACGAATTCACAGTTTATGGATGAACTGACTTCTAGTGGCCAAGTGCCTAGGCACCCCATTCATGCAGTTAATCTCCAGTTCATTTTTGCTGTGTGAGAAATGTGTCCTTTTCTGTGTTGATGAAGTTTATTGCTACAAATCTGGTTTTGCATGAAATTTCTTAGTAAAAATGCCATTGTATAAAACCTGATAGTTGAGGAACTCTGCTTGTAGTTTCCCTCCTTTTCCTTTCAGCACGTGCTGTTGACCCAGTTCCTTTCCCCAATTCTTAACTAGTCCTCAGCAGCACAGCATCCTTCACTAAATTGAGTTAGATTAGGTCTACCATACTTCCCTCATCTGGAAAATTAGGTGTTTGTACAACAGACAGCTGTCAGCTTACTTTATCAAAATCATCTAAACCTACATTCCATTTTTACTCCATTACACAACTAACCACAGCCATTTATGGCTCTTTCCTTGAAAATTCATTCTAAAATGATGCATAATATAGAGATCAGATGAATAAGTCATTAGCTGCCTTCTCTCAATTTTAGCTGGTGATGGAAACACCCGTCATTCTCCAGTTGGTGTAGTGTCAGGTACAGAGCACTTCTGTGCTCTGACAGAACCTTTCTTTCTTCCCTATTACCAGGACAATTTCATGTGACCTGATATTGGTGAGTCGCCGGGCCAGAACCGAAGAATGATACGATACAGTGCAACAAATACTGTTCCAGGTTAAGAAAGCTTGTTTATCCTGCAGCCTTTGCTTAAATAAAGTCTTCTCACCAGAGGTCTCCTCAAAGACCTGGTTAGTTTAGTCTACAGGCTGATTTTTTGCAACAGTCTGAGAGTTAAAATTTCACCTACCCCAGTGGGTTTTCTGCTCCAATGGAAAGCTGAAATAGGGTGAAGATGTCAAAAGAGTTGCTTCAGTTTCCTGTGAGACCTTACATTAAAACACATTTCTTTATGTTTGTGGTGGATTGACCTTGGCTGGACACCAGATGTCCACCAAACCTTCTGCATCACTTCCCTCCTCAACTGAACAAGGGAGAGATAGGGGCAGGGAGAGATCACTCAGCAATTACTGTTACAGACAAAGCAGATTCAACTTGGGGAAAGTAGCTTAATGTATTACCAATCAGAGTAAGGTAATAAGAAATAAACCCAAACCTGAGAAACAACTTCTCCCTACCCCTCCCTTCTTCCTGAGCTCAGCTTCACTCCTGATTTTCTCTTTCCTCCCTGCCAGTGGCACAGGGAACAGGGAATGGGGGATGCGGTCAGTTCATCACACATTGTCTCTGCCTCTCCCTCCTCCTCAGGGGAGGACTCCTCACACTCTTGCCCTGCTCCAGTGTAGGGTTCCTCCCAGAGCAGACAGTCCTCTATGAACTTCTCCAGTGTGAGTCCTTCCCACAGGCTGCAGTTCTTCATGAGCTGCTCCAGTGGGGGTCCCTTCCATGGGTGCATCCTTCAGGAACAGACTGCTCCAGCGTGGGTCCCTTCCATGGGTGCAGCTCTTCAGAAACAGACTGCTCCAGCGTGGGCTCCTCTCTCCCCAGGGCTACAGGTCCTGCCGGGACCCTGCTCCAACGCAGGCTTCCCACAGGTTTGCAGCCTCCTTTGGGCATCTCCCTGCTCTGGCGTGGTGTCCTCCATGGGCTGCAGGTGTAGATCTGCTCCACCATGGACCTCCATGGGCTGCAGGGGCACGGCTGCTTCACCATGGTCTGCACCACGGGCTGCAGGGGAATCTCTGCTCTGGTGCCTGCATCACCTGCTGCCTTCCTGCACTGACCTGGGTGTCTGCAGGGCTGTTGCTCTTACATGTTCTCCATTCTCTCTCTGGCTTCAGATTCCTTTGCAGTTTTGTTCCCTTTTCTAACTATGTTATCCCAGAGTCAGTCACTACCACCATTGCTGATGGGCTTGGCCTTGGCCAGTGGTGTGTACATCTTGGAACCGACTGGCATTGGCACTGTTGGAGAGAAGCTTCTACCAGAAGCCACCCCTGTAGCCTGCCCAAAAAAAAACCCTGCCACGCAAACCCAATACAATATTGTATTACTTTCATGTTCTGAGTCCTTTCCGTCCATAATACGAATGTATGACTCATAGTTCATATTTCAAAACAGTGTCACATGCTAGACTTCCCTTCTCTTGCTTTCATGAGCAAAATTAGGAGGAGAAAGACTTGGACTGCGTAATTCAACTGAAAACTGAAAGTTAAGAGTTCATTTGATTTCCCAAAAGGACCACATCAGTTTAAAACCCATTCTGGTTCAGCTGATGAATATGCAACAGTGAACAGAAATAAATAAAAAGACCTCAGTATTCAAACAACTGAAAACCAGGGAATAAATACCAAACAATACGAGCTAGAATTTATGAAGTGTAAACTGCTGGTTAAGAAAGATAAAGGCCCACGGGAAAATTCACAAGTTGCAGCAATGAAAAGATAATATGCTTTTTAGAAGACTATTATGAACAAAATAAGTCCAAGATGGAGGTGGCTGTATGCTAGAACTGCATAAAAGGTGACAGTGTTCAACCCATTTATTGCTAGTCTCTGAAAAGAAGGAGAATCGTGCACTTGCATCAAAAAGAGAATAAACCATGCACTCTTCAGGCTTTCTGCAGGAACTATCTACAGAATTAGAACAAGGGGTTACCACAGCAACATGGTATGAAGAACTGCCTCAGCCACTGAGCACCAGCATCCTAGATATGCATACAGACAAGAAGTGCTTCTGCTACTACCACCACTGCCAGTAGTGGCACACAGATAAAATGAGTTAGAGTATGAATGTACAGGAATAATGACAAAGTCAGAAAGCTCATGGCCAATGGTCCTAAAAATACAGCTGAAAAAAGCACTTGAAGTTATCGACCTGCACAAAACCATAGGCCAAGAAAACATTTCTTTTAAAAGCTGAAGAAGAGCACATCTGCATGGTCCCACTTGGAGTGTGCCCTCTTCTGATGTCTGCTGACAGCAGTGAGCTCTGCTCTGCACCGCTGGGACAGAACAGCCCATCTCCACCGCTGCAGGAGGCTGGGGGGCTCCTTCCCTTACCAGCCCAGCAGCCTCATCTGTGAATGAGAAACAGGAAGCCGGGGGAACAGCACTCAGCTGCTCAGACCAATTGTGCTCTTTCCTCTCTCTTTCCCTCTGCAACACTTGAGAGTCCTCACATGTTTGAAGAAGGCTGAAGATGAACCCAAAGCAGCAACCTTCTACCCCTTCAGCAGCAGGAGAGAGGCCGTACAAGCTTGAGGAGCTTCGGCAAGAGGAGAGCTGGAGCTGAAAGGAACAGAACTGCTGGGAAAAAAGGGCAGACGCAGGCCATGATCATTCACTTATGTCAGATGCTTTTAATCACTGCTGCCATTAAGTCATAATGAATCCCTGAACACTGGGGAAATCCAAAGGACTGAAAGGCAGCTGCTATATGACAATCTTCAGAGAAGGGAAACATAACGATCCAGCTAACCACCGGATGGCAAGA